ACCTCCTAACACCAAACTAGGCATGAGGACCTGAAACAGGCCAAGGGCCACCAGTCCCCACAGCAATGCAACACCATCAGCGAGAGCTTTTTAGGACAACCTGTACTATACACATCCCACTATAAAACCTATTTCCTTCTTAAAATTAAGATTTGTCTCTATATTCCCCATTGTATCTGTCAGTCAGTAACAAAAAAGGCACAAGGATTTCCATGCTATCAGCAGTAACTCATGCCTGGTACACAGTAAGAAAAGAGCCGACATTATAAATGTGGCAGTAACTACTCTGCGTGCGGTTACCAGCCATAATAGTAAAATATCGGCGTATTAAGGTGATCGCTGGAAGTGGAGTTATTTTAAACGCCCGATGATTCACTTCTGGCGAATAAAATACATTTACACCGAGAAAAAGATTGATACAAGCATATCAGGTCCAGGTGCTGCTTTTGTTTTCATTCTCGAAAAGGACAGAATGGCATTCGCCGACGGGGAATCTGGATTGTTTGCTACAATGACAAAGGCAGCTGTTTGGAGAGCACAGTCATGCAGATGCAAACCGGATGACCAAATGACAGGTTATTTTCTAGGTGTAAATTTTAGTGTTAACTATTTGAGTTTTAGGACTTTGTCCAAAGACTGAGTGGATGGACGCTGCCAGAAAGGGGCGCTCATCAGGTGGCGCTCCTGGGCAAGTCGCCGAGACCCATCGGATATTGGGATCTTCAGTCTGTCGGCTTTTTTATTGACGTTTCTTTTCTTAGGCGCAGGAAATCTTTAACAAATCGGAGCAAGGCAGCCACCGAAACCCCACTGAATTACACCGGGCCCTTATCGGCTGCACTAGGTTGGCTTCGGCGTGGGCATGGCTCGCTTACCTGGGCAGCTTAAGCACCGTGACGGAAATAATGGTAAAAAACCACGAAGCGGCCGCCGGCTCCGTGTCCCTGAGCCCGGAGCTCGGATCAGTCACGCTAGAGCACGGATAATGAACTAGGGGTGAGGGATGAGGCAGCCGGGGGCTGTTTTACCTGGCGCAGTGACCCATATGGAGCGATCGGCCTCACCTGTACTGCTATCGGGAGCCGGCTGGCGATCCGGCCGCTGGCGTGGACAAACACACGGAGCCCCAGAACGACCTCATCTATGCACACGGCTCAGTGGCGCTGACCGGTTGCGGACACATGCAATATTTAATATCCTGAATCGCGGGTTTGACAGGCAAGATGCTGCATTTGACCTCCAACACCTCATCAAAGCAGATGTACATCCCGCCTCCCAATGAAACATTCACTCTCCCGTAACACTGATGAATAGGGAATAATCTTTAGCAGGACATAAGAGTATTTTATTCAGGGCTGGCGGGTTATCAACAACGCCGTGCTACTCAATCACCACTTTTAGTTGCGGCTGAATTGCTGCGCATTTCAAGTTGCGGTGGAATAAAGAGACCGCAACGGGCTGGGCGACCGCAGCATCATGTCGGGAAAGGAAAGAGGAAGGATCGCTCCATGAGATAATTAGGCCTACATGAGGGCATCGTTCCTGCTTGGATTTCACTGCGGTAACATAACTCGTTACCTGAACTTCATCTATCCTGATACACCGCTGTCAGATCTCAATCTAGCGCCTCATCTCGCCTTGGTGGCTCCAATCTCCATCCAGCAGCAGTAGATACAATTACCTATTCTGATCGGGTTTTAGCGCACTAAAATAACCGCCCTCCCTCCGTTATGCCATTAATATTTCATGAATCATTTTCTCCCACGGTGTTCTCAGTGCCTGGTAATAAGGTTTCAGTGTTTTCTGCTCCCCCCTCTTGGCTGATTTGTGTCTTCACTGACAAGTCGTGACTGACTGGGTGATTCAGCCGGCAGAGCTGAACATCGCGCAAAAATAACTTGGTGGCGTTCATAGGGACACAATAAACAAAATAATAGTAAATCCGTGTTCTCGTGGACCCAATAAACAGAATATTAGTGAATTTGCGCTCAAATGCGCATATAATTTTTAGTACATCTGGCTTTATAGGAATCCATTAAACGAAATATTAGTAAATAGGCGTTTGTAGGTGCACAGTAAACTATAGAATTAAATATTTGGCTAGTACATCCGCATTCATTTTTCCTAGGGACCCAATAAACAAAATATCAGCAAATCCGTTTTCATAGGTATATGACAAACAAAATACCAGTAAATCCGCGTTCATAGGCACCCAAACAAAATACTAGTAAATCGGTGTTCATAGACACACGGTAAAACCATAGCCGTAGATTTGGGGGCGAGGGGACACGTCCCCCCTTCCTAATGTTGAGATGAAGGGGGATATTCCCCTTCAATAATATTACATATGGTGTCTGGTTTACAAAAAACACACGCATTTGATTAATATATCTCATTACATAATTTAAAGTTTTTTTTCCTTACAGTTTTTATTTGGAGACCCCCTACCCTCCGTTAAAACGGTTTATTCTCAATTGTATACCGCCCTGGCAGGAAACGCTCACTTCCAGACCTGCGAGTACAGAAGACAACATACGCACGGTACGGCTTTGCATGTACATTTAACTCATGGAAGACCTTGTATCATAACCAACAATTAATCAGTGAAAGGCTATGTGAAATTGTGGAATTTAATCGTCTCATGAACATTAAGTTTCATAAAGACAATCTTATTTGATTGTGCAAGCTGCGACTATAGTTTGGTTAGTTAACAGCTTAGCACAAATAGCAACGCTGATAGCGCAGTGGTAGGATAAATAGCGTTTGTGTCAGTCGCAGTTCTCATCCCACTTTGTTTGCTGTCAGGGTATAAGAATGAGAAAGAAGCACGTGTCAAACACGGGGTCAGAGCTGGCATTTATTTTGGAAACACCATATAGTAAGCCATTCAGTTACCAGTAACTCAGAATCATTTAGTTCATAAATAGTGCTGGCAGAACGTTCCGTTAATTCCTAATAAGAGATTCAATAAATCCTCTTGCCTATATTTACTTAGATAAATCTCATAGTCGCTATTTAATGTGTTGTGTTTGTTCTAGTGATTTCGGAAAGTTAGGGTGTGTTCGTGAGATACAATGTGCAGAACGCCAGGGGCATCAATAGTGGACTCTGAGGTGAGGTCATTTTCCCACAAGGAATGGCATGACTTTCGTTCTAGTGTTCTGACAAGTTGAGCTACCTATCGAGACGTGCTATCGAGCCTTTCTGCGCATGTGCAGTTCCACCGTTTTGGGATTAGGATTAGGTTTTAGGGGTTAGGGTTAGGTTAGAGTAAGGGTTTTAGGGGTTTTTGGGGAATTAGGGTTAGGGTAAGAGTTAGGGTTAGGGCTATCGATTAGCACTACGGTAGCCTAACTCGACAAAGTAGCTCAACTCGACAGAACACCGGAATCTCGCAAATTGCGCATAATTTTAATAATTCCTGCAAATTCATCGTACATGATGCGGGACTAAACGCACTTAAACTACCCTATTAATTATGATGAATAACAGTAAAACTGAAAGATAAACTTCAGTTTATATAGCCTACTGTAACTATAACAGCAATTGTTTACGAAAAAATACGAACCGTATACGGCGCAACTACAGAGTCGCCTTATAAGGCGACGTGACGCCACACATCTGACCCCGATAGCCTCCCTAATGTTAATATAAAACCTACGCCCATGCGGTAAACAACACATTAGTAAAAATGCTAAAGGTTCCTGCGTCCCATGGGTATAACAGAACACATTTATGAAGCACAAAAGAGAACTACTACATACATTTAGGTATAAGCTGTGTATAGTGTTTAAAAATCTTGTTGACTCTTGGGGGAAAAAAACAAAGCAGTACCTGGGAAACAGTCTATTTTATTTTCGTAATCCACAGTAAATGTTTACCCTAGCAAAATAACACATTTTAAACATACATAATGTTTCCTCAGTTTGACTATTATGGAATGGCGTCCCCATCGACAAGGCGACGAGCCGTTGCCCTGTGCTTCTTGTGACAGCCTTCGGATCATCGCAGATAATCGGATAAAATGTTATTTTAAACGGATGGAGGGGCGGATTAACAGGTATCTGCACCCTGTGTCATTCGACATATTCACTGATTGAAATAACGGCATCTGTGTGCAGGGCGGAACCTAGGGCTTTCCCCAGCTAATATCCAGCTTGCGTTTCCATCTGCGGGGTCAGAGGCTGCACCAGGATGCCTGTGTCTGCGTCCCCCAGCTAGAAAGACTGCGCACTACGGCTTCACCTCCATGCACTCCCGTGTCAGTTTTGTACGAAAATCCTGCGAGTCCAAGCGGGAAAATCCAGCTGTGAACCGTTCACGGTTAACGTCGCGTATTCTGGTTCAGTGCATGAAGTGGTGGCTAAGAAAAACATGTGGTGACCGGCAATAGTTGCATAATAAGCAACATAATGAAAAAAACTGGACCAAGTGAATTAGCTTTTAATCGGCAGCTTGAAAAAACGAGTTCCTAAGATCAATTATTCAAAACTCCTTCGTTATTACGGTAAAAATCAGGGTGAATTTTTACGTTTATGTAAGATTATTGACCATTTCCAGGGGAGGTTTGAGTTATGAATTCAATTTCTCAGCTGAACGTATGTTATGTTTTCAGGTCACCACGAGTAAACGATGCACTCTCACAATTTGCTCAGTTATTGCCAAGCAGATCACAGCTTGAAATTTAACTATGTAGCCAATATGAATAGGGGAGGAGAGGTAATCATGGAAGGGAATGTTAATCAATTAACCAAGGGGAAATAAAGCGAAGAAAAAAACATTTTAAATACAAAAGCAGTATGATAAAATGCTGAACTGTGTCACACCGGGAAAAATCTGCTGTTTGCTAGCCACCATTTTCTTATTTGCAAGCAAGCTGAATTTCTGAAGGGACTCTAGGAAACCAGACTGACCATCTCAGTCCGCAGGTGCATTATGAGTCATTCTTTAGCGGCACAATAGCGCCACCCATTGATGATTCCTAGAAAAACACCGCAAGATTATTCCAGCAACAGTCTTTATTTTTAACTTGACTTGGTCAAGAAGTCAACATAAATTAAGATTGCATTGTCTGCTGCCTACTCTGGGGGAACAAAACATATAAAAACAATTTTATTAAGTAGCAGTGGGAAGGACAGTGGGAGGGACAGTGGGAGGCGGGAGACCAGTCTGCTGAGGAGCTTCAGATGCAGAGATGGTAAATCACGGTGACGAAGCCTTGTAACCATCTGCCTGTGGCCTGATCACTGGATCCTCAGAGAATCCAGCCACTCTTCACCTCCCAAATCGCTTCCACCCTGAGACCATCAAACTCAATCCCCTGACCACACCTAAAACATTTCACAGTCAAATTAGCTTCTCAAATCCCCTATCCCAAATTAACCCCGAATTAGTAGTTTTAAAGACATACAACACCTGTTCCTGACCCCCCCCCCCCCCCCCCCCCTCTTCAGAAACTGCAACCCACCCATACTAAAGAGACAAAACCATGGGAGACGAGTCACACTGAGTGACCCCCCTTCTCCCAGATCATTCACAGAAGCTCAAAAAAAAAAAAAGGTCATATTGACAGCATGGATTCTCCAGAACATGCCGGGAGGCTCTCGTTCACAAAAGCCCGATGTGACAGATGCCCTGCAGTGGGCATTTTCAAATTTGGCATTTCCTGGTCCATACAGAATCCATTTTGACAATATCAGTCTGCCGGCTTGCCTGCAGCCCTGGAGTCCCGCCCATTTTGGGAAGGGGGGAGGGGCTTGTAGGCCTGTCTCTGCGGTTCTCAGGTACGCCTGGTCTTCTGCCTCTTTGCCTGCCGCTTGGCTTCATCCAGGGCGGCGCCATCTCCGCCAGCCTGGGCCAGCCCTCGCACCCCTTGCATCCGGCTCACCAATTGTACCAGCAGTGGAATTACCTGTAGGGGGCGCACACTCAACACTCGGCAATCTCACCTCAGCCCGGCAAGAAGGGCAAGCCAACGGGAGCCCAAAAACAGCCCTTATTAGAACCAGCCCATCTGGATCCAGCAGGTATCCTGTAGCTACGCTGAAATAATGAACCCATCCGCGGGTACATGCGTACATGAAAATAACAACTCTCAGTCTCCCCAAGAAGATGGCACACTAGGGTTAAGGCATCAGGATTAGACGAGGGCTAGCTATGAGTGAGGGCACTTTACCTTCTCGTGGTTGTACGCCGCGAGTAGCAGCAGCAGCGTCAGGGGCAGGGCAATATAGGAGCCCTGGGCGACATCTTGGTCAGGCACTCGGCGCTGAGGAGTAGACAAGGCAGGAACCGCTTCAAAACACCCGAATACCGTGAAGGTAGGTCCTCTACCCAAAATCACAACTACGGGGAAACAGCTTAAGCAACAGGATGCCTCTCTGACAACCAAAGTTACCACTGCAAAGATACAGCTGATAGTCATTCACCTCAAACACGCTTACAAAAGAAACCATTATGGCCCAGAAATAGGAAGTCAAAAGTGGACAACCTACCCTCCAAATGGGAGGTCTGTATGTATGACAGTACATGGATCTGAAATATTTCATCACAACCATGTGACTGCAGAGGATTTAGACAGAACGTGAACTCACAATGGGGTTAAAGGTCAATGTGACATGCTTGTGGTATCCACTGGAGGTGAAGGAGACCTGGGGCAGCGTGTAGTCGTACTGAGTGCTGGGCAGGGTGGTGTGCAACATCAGCACGTAGCTCTGCAGACGGAGAGAGGCGGCGTGATCAACCAGCTTTACTGCCCAACCAGCATGGGCTTGCAACCGGGCAAGACTTATAGGAACTTCTCAGAGTAAGAAATGGGGTACCTCTCCGTCCCGGAGGAGAGGGCGGAAGTGGAAGAACAGCGACTGCCCCAGGGTCACGGTCTGGATGGGGTTGTCCAGATTGTCACTCTTGAAGAGCTTTACCTGTGGTTGGAGTGATAAGGAAGGTGAAGTTCGCATGAAAAAAGCCATTTTATTAGAGCACCTAGCCGGATCCCAAGGCTGATTCCAGGGCCTGAACAGGCAATGACCTCAAACGGAAATGAGCACTGCAGGGAGGTTACGTGATCCTTACTTAAATGAGTAACGGGGTAAATGGTTAAAGGGTCAGCTCAAGGGAGGTGCCTGCATTAAATCAGGCGAACTGGAGCAAAAACTGCCCCTGGATTTCCCTATGAGAAACCGGCCAGCTAGAATTAAGGGACGAGCGAGGACGACACGAGGAGCCCTTACAGACAGGGAGGACAGGTGTTCTGGGGAGGTCAGGATGTTACCACTCAGGTCAAACTGATTAATCTGCCGGAAAGCGATGATGTGGATGCCTTCGATGTCGCTGCTCCCGACCTGCAGGCACAGGCAGCCAGTCAGAGAGAATGTTCCAGATGCGGACCGCTGGTTATGGTTAGGGCCGGTTTGAGGGCCCAGTGAGAGACTCACCTCTATGGGTCTGTGCAGAGGCAGGGCTCTCTCGATGTGGTCGTTGCCTTCGGCCCTCAGCTGGATGAGATACCTGCACCCCGGCTACACAAGACACCAAAGGACTGTCAAAGCTCACAGCCGCGGAACATCACTTTATGACGGGGAAGAGCAGGGTAAGGAGTGGCAGGCCTCCTCACCAGCAGGCCGCGCAGTCTGAAGCGGCCCTCCTCGTCGGTGACGGTGTCCTCGCTGTACAGGCTGCATTCACCCTGCCCCACGGCCTCCACCGCCACGCCCTGCTCTGCATCTCCGCTCAGGGACAGCACCGCACCATAGCAGCTGGGGGGATGGGGGGGGGGACGACAACCACAATGCACTCTGATCGGTTACGGTATGGGCCGTCACCGGTCCACGCTGCCGTGTGCAGCAAACATTCCCCCCGTACCTGTACGCGGTTTTGAAGCCGGTGATGGCAATGCTCAGCATCTGGCCCTCCTCCACCTCGATCATCTGGGATGCCGGCTCGAAGCGGTACTCCTTCATCATGGGCTTGTAGTAGTACTGGCCGGGGCTCTGCACAGCGAGAGGAGGCAGTCTCAGGACAGAGCATCCCCACACCGGCGCTCTCATTTCAGCCAGAAACCTCTGGCTGACAGTAAGCCTGTGGCTTACAGCAGGTAGATCATCAGTAATGTGCAGCTTAGTCTGAACCCAATATCGCCCCCTCTCTGCCAGCCCTGGTAGTGCCTGTTACAGTGACCCACAGCCTCTGTGTCCGGACATGGCGTTGGACTAGCAATGGAATCATACTGCCTGCTCAAGCAGATTGTCGCCGTCGGCAGACAGGAGGTCGATCAGGGAATTACCAGCGGATGAGAAGGTACAGGGCAGCATGAGGGAGATGGCGTACCAGGTTGTTGAACGTGAGGAGGCCGGTGTCCTGGGTGAGGAGGTTGGAGCGGAACTGCGCCCCGCTGAGGGACAGCAGCACCCCGGAGAGAGGCTGGCCGTCTTCCGACTTGATCTGAACGCAGTGCACATGTCAGGGGACTCAGTAAGGACAAGGGGCCACCCAGCGTGAGGGCAGAGAATCCGTGGTCTTGTCTCCATGGTTACCTCGAAAGTGACTCCCGCCAGGGCGAAGGCCTTGAAGTCGCCCTGCGTTCCCTCTACGGCCGTCAGGACGAAGCCTTCCTTGCGAGCGCTGATGTCATACTGCAGGTTACTGTGCAGGGGCCCTACTCTGGGGCACCGCAAACGAGAAGACTGTAAACAAAGGGGAAAGACGGGGCCCCCACACTCCCCAACACCCTGACGCCCACAGGAAAGACGCCCCCCCTCCCCCCCAGTGAGGACGGATAAGCCCGCCTACCTGTAGGCTCCCCTCTCGTTAGTGAGGACGGTGATTAGTGCAGTGTGGGCCCCTCTCTCGCTGATGGATATCTCCACGCCCTCCAGCCCCGGAGACAGCTGGCCCTCTAGGAAGAGGCCGGCCCTCCCCATTATGTCCACCAGCCGGCCCGGGCAGCCCTCTGACAAAAACACATGATGGGTTCACGTCACATTGGTGCAGACAGGGCGATGCCAGGGGGTGGGGGTCAGGGGAAACCTTACCGCCTGTGATGGTGGCCTCCACTTCGGGGGGGTAGAATAGCAGCTCCTTGGATGATGGGGTCACAGTGACCTTCTCCCCAGCCCTGAGGCACAAGATGGGGAAAAAAAAGCCCAAATGGATAAGACCAGCCTTAAAATAATGGGTGAGGGGGGGCGGATGATCACCTATGTTTGCATTCATCCTTCACAGATAGAGGCATGTTTTACCCCTCCACCCCCTACAGGTGTCGCTATCCAGATCCACACGGACACATTTTAGGACCATGAGCTTGTCCCTGGGGACCCGTTTCAGGGCCCCGCCATACCTGGCCCAGTAGGAGAACTCATAGTGGAAGGGCCCGCGCAGCTCCTCTGCCCGCTCCTGCACCGGGGGGCTCTCCTTGGCACCGGGGTCCTCCTCCCCGCGTCGCTCCCTCTCCTGCCGCCGTAGCTCAATCTCCAGCAGCTGCTGCTCCTGCCGCTGCTCCTGCAGGGACCTCAGAGGCCCCAGGACCAGGGCCGGTTCGCTCTCGATGGACGATCTGGGGCCGGGAGGTGGGGGGCAAGAGGTCGAGAAGACGTCTACACGCATGGGGCCTGCCCTGACAGCTTTTACCCAGGTGCCATGTTACCGTGATATTGCAAGAGCATCAATCTCAATCTAACAGCAGACCAGGCTGAGTGGCGACACACATAGCGACCACCGGGGGAGCGCAGCATGCGACGGGCCGCAGGCAGCTCTGCTTCCACCCCACACGGAGCCCCGTCTGCGGGCTCCTCGCGCTGCAATTATAAAGCACGCTGCTATGCTAATGACGATCTTAGCACTGCAGCTCGTCTGTCATTACGGGACTGAGTAATAACACAGAAGCGGGAGGAAGGCGTCTCTGCTCCACAGGGGACACACAGGCAGGCAACAGCCCTCCGGGATCACGGCACGGGGCGACACAAACAGCTGCAGACGCCGGGAAGCAACACTACCGATGATTAGCGGTGACTCGCATGCGACTGGCTTGCGGTGCTCCTCCCGTGAAAGGAGGGCGTGGGAGCAGCACACAGGCTGAACGCCAGCCGGGGATTATTACACAGGCATCGCCCTGGGGATGCATCTCCTAACAGGCCTGACCGGGGATGCCTGGGTCACACTCACTTGATGGTGACAGTGACGTCCAGGATCTTGTCGGTGGTGATGAGGCCAGTCATGTGGTGTCTGACTGCCGTCAGCGTCAGGATGCTGGGGGCGGAGCTGGAACGAGAACCAGGAGCCCTCAGTCAGACAGGCTGTTTTTATTCGGGGACGGGGGTTTATAATTTATAATTAAAAATAGCATTAAAAAAACCTACGTGTCATATGTATAATAATCTTGCTCAAACTGGTGGCAGGAACGGGGCGTCACCTTGTACACGCCTATATGGAAAGAAATTGGTTACTGGAACTGAAAACAGAATGGAAGACGGTGGGTGGAGCCAGGGTAATGGGTGTGGTCAATGCAGGAGGCGGTGCCTGGCTAGGGGGCGGTGCCTGGGCTCACACCTGGTTTGGAGAGGCAGAAACGGTTGACCCCCTTCGTAAGGTTGTAGACACCCACGTTCTCAGGCTTGCTGCCATCCTGGAAGAACTCCTGGAAGAAAAAAAAAAAGAGGCAGAGTCAGTCTGGGGCCCCGGGGCAGGTGCAGTAAAGACAGGCAAAGCGTCACCCGGTACGGACCAGCGTGATGGCATGCGACAGGGCGCAGCGCAGCATGTAGCCCGTCTGCCGGAACTCCACCCCAAGCACGTCAGCCTGCAGCACCTCCACCTCCATGGACTTGTGCTTCCAACACCACTCCTCGTGGGAGATACTCACTGCCAGGGGAGCACAGCAGGGGTTTACGGACACCTTCAACAGGCCTACAGTCCCACAAACCGTTTGAACCGTCACTGTAACATTAGAGCAAAGTGCCCCTAGAGCAGTGGTGGGCAATCTTATCCGCAAAGGGCCGCTGTGTATGCGGGTTTTCGCTTCAACTCCCTAATTAGGTCACTAATTAGAGGACTAATTGGCTGAAGAGTCCTCACACCTGGGTTTGATCAGATGACCTAGAGGTTATCCCAAAGACCTGCACACACACCGGCCCTTTGCGGATAAGATTGGCCACCCCTGCCCTAGAGCCCCACTTACACAATACAGTCTAGATACAATGAAGTAATAAATAACACAACTGCAGACGTCTATATGCATTCCCATTAATTCCCATGGAAAGTTTCCAGCTTGGAATATTTCCAAAATTCCCCAGTTTAACTTCCCATGAAATGGAAAGTTTCTGGAAAGTTTTTGGAAATTTTCCACCTCTTTGCAACCCCAGTGTAGCCTCACAAAATGAACTAAACCGAAAGAGATCCCCAGGATACAGGGACAGACAGTAAGTACACAATGAGTAACATAAGCGCACAGGGGGCTTTAGCCAGATGGCAAAGCTGCCTTTCAGAGCCTCACATTTGTATTTGCCGGGCAGGACGTCCACGAAGGAGAAGGTGAGTGAGTCGCCCCTCCCGGAGAGCTGCACGTTCACCCTGTCCCCAGGGCGGCTCACAGGCTGCAGGGTCACCGTCAGGTCCCCACAGGCCGCTAAACCGTGGTGGGGGAAACAGTCAAACCAAGGTTGCATGTGTAACACAGAGGGCAGAGTGACAGGAACCGAGGCCACACCTACCCAGGCAGGAGACCTTGCCGGAAACGGAGGCCATGAACTGGGTGAAGAGAAGATTGGACAAAGGCTGGTCGACAAGCGAGACGTCAAGGGCCTGAGGCTGCAGGGCCAGGCCGGCCTTCACTTCGGCCTCGGGGAGAGAGACCTGTACAGATGGAAAAGCTTATTCAAAGAGGAAGACATTAGAGGAAAACAAGACAATAATCTGAAGGCAATGAGAACAAACGATTTCTCATTTTGCTGGAAATGTATATTTTGTTATTCTACCTGAACACTGTAGTCCCCAGGTTTTGCCTGGAAGCAGAACTCCCCCTGCTGGTCAGACTCGACAGTGCGGCTAGAAGCCTTATCCTGCCCGCGGGGCGTGAGTGTCACTCGGTACCGGCCCTGCTGTTTCAGGCCTTCGGGAAGCCGGCTGATGGAGATCTGACCGCATATGCTGAACCTGGCCACAGAGAGAGGGAAACGACGATTTATCAGAACTGCCCATCGTGTGGCAGGCTGCCGCGAGTGTCGGCGAGCCCCAACAAGGCGGGAGGGGCTCCCTGCCCCTTCAGAGCTCCGCGGGAGGCACAGCTTACCCAGTAGTAATGATGTCGGGAAGCTGAGGCGTGTTGGGGGCGATCTTCACGGTGACGGGGTCGAAGAACATGAGCTCCTTGTGGGCGCGGATGGTGTAGGTACCCGCCGTCATGTTCTCCAAGCGGAAGGATCCGTCTTCCTTGGTTACCACTGAAGACGGGGAACACGTCGGTTAGCCAAAGCTCAGCGGAACAAATGGTACAATCCTCACTTTAAAGTCCAAACTTTGCAAAAACAAGAAGGCAGAGCCTGGGACGCAGCCATATCTGACATACAATCCACTGAGCATGTATAGAAAAACTTGTCAAGACAGTCTATGTAATCGACATTTTTAACATTAAAAAAAAGACAGAATGTAGAGACTCTGTTCTTCCTTCAGTAACTAAAAGCTGAGACAGCTGAAGCTGTTGGTCACAATATTCATGTACATTGTAGAACAAGAGTCATTGAGAAGCGGAAACCAAGCGCTAGTGGGTGCACTGCTCTGAGAGGCCACGCCGCCATGCTGACAGACCCCACACGCACGGACGCACTGAGCCCGACATGGACACCAGGCCACATTGATCTGCACGTCCTGCTTAGGGACTCCAGTGAGACATTCCCGCTTACTTAGACTTACTTAGTCTTGTCCAAGACTGAGGGATGGAGAGAAGCTCACCCTTGATCTGGTTGTTGAGAGTCACTGTGGCGCTGGGCACGCCCTCCCCTTCGGGCCGGTTCAGCACCCTGCCGGTCACGGAGAAGCCCATCACACGGAAGATCGGCTGGGGCGGGGGCACGGGGGACAGAACAGTCAGCACTCACACGCCGCTGATGGGCCCTTATCAGCACTAACACCATCGAGCTGAGCACCACAGCAAAAGGACAACATGTCCAGCAGGTCGCGACTCGTGGAAAACCCACCTCTAGCTGCAGGCTGTCATGCTCCACTCTGAAGACCATGCGAGAGGGAGCTACGTCAAAGGTGATCCTCTCTCCTCTGTAGTAAGGAACCTGAGGAGAGACAGCATAACTCAGAGACAGTGACAGACATTAGCAGGTAGCTTCCTAACTCACCAACACTTAGCAGGGGTCCGCAACGGTCATTTTCACCATCAGCCATGACTGGCCGGTCGTCTGCTACCCCAAACGCATGCCTCCAGATTACTGTGTCCACACGGATCTGTCCGCGTCGGTTGCACATGTGCAGCACGTGGAAGCTTTCGACAGTTACATTTATGTGAAGAGATCTACAGCTACCTACATTTATACAGTCCATCTTTGAATGAAAACAAGGAAGTCCAAATGTGAGTAAATTCCTGGCATGAAATCGCCCAAACGTAAAAGAAGAAACCTTCTGCAAACAGACGGGAAAAACCCAGGGATGGTATACAAAAATTGTACCCCTTTCCTCCACTGTAACTTGCTTTGGATAAAAGTATCAGCTGAATGAAAACAACGTTGCCCGCAGCTGTGTGCATCCGTTCCATTATGAAGTATAAGCTCGCCTTAAAGCAGCCTTTTCCCTACTCCTCAGGGGAGGTATTTTTAATGTTACAATAACACAAATCACGCTAAATACATGCTACATTCTCAAGTTTACCACGCCCGCAGGATGGGGCGTTCCCGCTCCCGCCTTACCACGGTGTACTCCCCGCTGGCCAGTGAGGGGAAGGTGAACGCGCCGTCCTCCCGAGAGACAACGCTGCACAGGAAGGAGAGGGCGGCATCACCAGGCAACGAGCCTTCCACGGGGGCGCTGTTACACCCAGTGATGTCCTGCGGGGGCAGAATCATGGCAGCCCGATGAGAAAAACGGCACAATAGTGTCACCGAGAAGACACTGTTACATCTTTTGTTTTTAGTGAACCATCTGTCAACTTTTGAGTTTACAGATGACAACATCGATCGGTCTAATTTCAAACAGCGATGAGTCAGTAAACAGACAAGAAGTTAAATGTCTGGCTCTATGGTGCAGCCAAAACAATCTGGACCTGAACTACAAAATGACTAAAGAAAGGGTGACTTCCCTGCCAATTATTGTTGGATGGATCAAGAGTTGACACTGTCAACTGATTGAAGTTTCTTGGCACTGCTCTCCTCAAATCTAAAATGAGTCGGATATCTTTCAAGTATCATCAAAAGAGAGCAAAGAATGTTATTCCTGCGGCAGCTTAAGAAATTCCGTCTTCCCAAACCTACACTGGTTTTGTTCTACACTTCAGTAGGCGAGTTCCTCCTCACAGTCACTATCACTATCTGGTGCAATGTTGCAACAGGCCAATCTAGGGAGAAAATGCAGGACGTCATCCGATCAGCAGGGAAGATCACTGGCAGCAACCTCCCCTCAAAGCAGGAACTGTACAGAAACAAGCTGAGAAGGCCACTGCCGACCTCTTCCATCCTACCCACAGGCTCTTCCAAACACTCCCTTCTAATAAATAGTACAGGGCTATAAAATGCACTCAACTCACCACTTTAACAGCTTTTTTCTCCAAAGGCAATATACGTTATTAATCAGAAATGATATATGAAGTAACTACTTCACAGTGCAATAACTGTTCCATAGTACATTGTTCCTGTATTGTATAATTCCGTATATTTTATATTGCGTACGTTGTTTATGTTATTAAGTTCTGTGTGATGTTTAGTATATGTTAAGTGTACTCATTGTAACCAATTCACCACAAATTCTTTGGACACCTTGGGTTGCTGGTGAATGAAGCATTATTCTGATTATAAGGCTGAATGTTTCTCAGAGGGTTCAGTCTTTAGATGGCAGCTTCACAGCCTAAGCTCACCACCCCAAACAAGGACGAGCTTCACTAGCAAAATGACCCAGGGCCTACAACAAAAGAAGACAGGAGGTGACCCTCACCCCCTACCCACCTCCTTCCTGACTGTGGCTGAGAAGAGCAAGAAGGTGACCTCCTTCATGGGCTCCCCATCACTACGCACTTCCCCTGAAACATCGTAGCCTCCCACCACCAGGGGCAGTGTGGCTGGAGCATTGGCGTTGGAGACCCACACTGAAGTACTGCTCTGTGGTGGGACAAACAATTGAAGGACTTTAATTAAAACATGACACCATGACTAATAAATGTGTAGAACTTTGCCTGGAAGCATGGCACATCAAATTTACCTTTTCTATATCTACATATACGCCAGCAACAAACTAGCTGTGTAACTTCACTATATATGAAAAATATAGAGGTAGAGTTAAAAAAAAAAAAAATTCAACTCACCTTCTCTAAAGTCCAGGATGGATGGGATGCAGTGATGTCATAACTGCCAGGCAGTACTTTGAAGAAGGTGTACCTGCCACAGGGTTGCAAAGAGAAACGGGGCGGGGAAATAGACAGTTAGGGATAGACCAATCAATGCATTTCCTAAAGTAAGGTTTTGAATAATTTACTGGGCTCTCAAGAGATACTGCAGTCCTGCATGGCAGAGGAGAACCATCCGTAATACCATGAAGAGAGGCCCCCACTCACTTTCCTCCTTGCTGTGTAAGGACAGTCTGCAGGCTGCCCTCGGCTCCTTCCTTACGCAGGCTCACCTCCACCCCCGCAGGACCCTGCTGCTGCCCTTTGCTTAACACCTGCACCAAGACGACAGCATTCAGTCTGAGCCCAGCCCAGCCCAGCCCAGCCCAGCCACCACCAGGAAGTGGCCGTCCGACTCACCGTTCCCGACACGGAGAAGCCCGTGAAAACGAAGTTAATGTCTTCTCCTTTGGTGCAGATGTCATTGGTTCCATCTACGTGGAGATCCACGCTAGTAGGCTCTGAAAGATATGCCATCAGAACACTTACCAAAAACATGGGAAAGAACCACTTATCCTAGTTAGAAGGTGGACAGGACAATACCCCAGGCAGTACAGGGCACAAGGCTGGGGAACACTCTACAGGCACTTTAAAGATGACAATTAGACTAACTACATGTCTTTGGACTGCAGGAGGAAATTGGATCACCCAGAGAAATCCCACAGGACAAGGGGAGAACATGCAATTAAACATATAGAGAAGTATATAGAGAAAAATCACATACCAAAGCTCCATCCCACAGGTGGCTCAATCTTCAACACAAAATCTCCCTAAAAGAGAGATTTCCATATAAAGACCGAGCCCAGGGACTGTCACTTGGCATTTCGCAGAAGAGTAAAGTTACCTTGTCATAGAGAGGGATCATAAAGTATCCGTTTATCGGTGCACAGTCCGTCTGGTATTTTAAGGATCCTTGCTTGGTGTACAACTTAATCTACACAAGTAAAAAATCACAGAGAGATCAGACACAAAAACTGCAGGTTAAACAACGTGCCATTCCGACAGCATCGGTATTGCAGTGCTGGAAGTGGAGATTGCGTACGATTTTATCAGACAGCTCATGTCAGACGAGGTATGCAGCTACATAATTCCCGTAAGTCTGTATTAGCTGCATTTTCGCTAACAACCGCTCTCCATTCAGACCGTGCAGCCGCCCTGTCGAGCACCCAGCCCTCAGGACCACTCTCACCTCAATAAGTGAGTAATTAATCTCCACGTCCGACTTGACAAATCCCCCACAGCCCACCACGATGTCGTCCGCCCTGCAAACAGCGAGTAAAAAGCTAATGCAGCATACTAAGATCCACATCTTCGGCCCCAGCCTCGACGCCCCCAATACAGTACAAATCGGCGACTTTTCCCCTGTATCAGACGTCAGACTCGTGCTTCTGCCGGTGCCGGAAGTGTCATTCTGCCCGTCGAGCAAACATTAAAAACTGATAGCGACATCTTTCGGATGGGCGGTGACAGTGCGCTCTCGTTCGATACCCGCCTCTACATATAAATTTCATGAACGGATTTCATAGAGATATCTCAATGAGGAAGGAAGATTCTTCCGGAATATGAAAAACACCTGTTGGAGGTATTTCACCTTTTGTACACATTACAGTCCCGATTAGAGTATTTTGCGCAATTTTATGTGGGCTTCTCAAGATTTAAGCACTTTATTGTCATTGTGTAACACAACGAAATTACTTTCACGACAACCCCATTAATAAATAGAAAATAAGCTAAATAAAAGTAAACACTTAAAATAAAAATACAATTATCGTACAAGATGTCAAAATATATTTGCAAAGATGCCATATACAGTGTTAAATCTTCAAACAGTTTATTTCTAACCAGAGCAGAATAACCAGAACAGATATTATTGCACCAGTTTACAGCAACAAAAATTATTCACATATTGCTCGTATTAATGAACAGTAAACAGCGTATTGCACATCCAACATAACTTATTGTATGTATTCAGGGTGAGGGTGGAACACGGCCAGTGTCGCACACCGGTGCTCAGGGTGCGGGTGGAGGTTGGGCACTTGTCCAGCCGCACTTGGTGAGAAAGTCCAGTAACCAAATGCATATGGAGGGAGTCAATCCTAATGTATACAGTTTGTTAATCAATTATACTATCTGTTCATCCAGTTGGGGGAGTAGTAAAGAGAATTTCCCCTCAGGGATCAATAAAGTATCAATAATAATAATAATAATTATTATTATTAATAATAATAAGATGGCTGTCACTGAGGGTCACAGAGGGTCTGGAGTCAAGCAGCATATTACAGAAAGCAGGGAACAAACACCCAGAAGAGGATTCAAACCACCATCCCACCACAGTGTAGTTCATTGATCATTTGAAACCAGCTGAATATGTTAATAAGTAACATTATTTTCGGTTTACGAGTGATGTTTTGTAAACCATGCAAAGCCAGATAGAATTTTAGAGGTTATGGGCTGAGGATTTGGAGTCTCTCTTATTCTCCATCCCATTCAGCTATCTGCAAGCCAGGCAGCGAGTTCACTGAAGGACTTCAGCAGTGCAGCCCCTTCATATTATCACTACCCCATCTGCCATATTACACGACTTGCCCTTCCGAACGCATTGTGAGTCCGTTTCCATTTACTGAGTTGTACCTCCCATGATGGTACACTGGATGGCACTGTTGCCTCTCAGCTGCAGGGCCGGGGGGTTCAGATTTAGGCTTTGGCTCTGCATCTGCAGTTTGCATACTCACCTTGGAGTTTCCTCCTGTTAGTGACTATAAATTGGCCATAATCACTGCACTCTGAGTGTCCCCCTGCCTGTAGACTCACCCTGACCCTGTACTGGGGATGTGGTTATGGACAAGAACAGGGTGGTCTGATTTATAACAATGTGTTGGTATAAAATGCCCACCTACATCTGCCATACCACAAAGGTCAGAAGCCTTTTTCAGAGGGTACAGGTGCAAACTCCACACGTACAGAACCATAGCCGAGACTCGAACCCTGCTCCCAGAGCTGTGAAAGAACAGTGCTACCTAATGCATCAGAATATCACTCCATGAGCAGAGTTCAGTAATTCAGGTCCAAAGAGTAAAAGTCCAGACCAAGATTTTGTTTCAACCAACTAGTTGAGCATAAAGAGTCACAGTCACAGTAGTACTCAACTGGTTGGTTGAAACAAAATCCTGGTCTGGACTTTTACTCTCTGGACCTGAATTACCCAACTCTGTCCATGAGATACCCAAAGGTATTTCAAGGTTCTCATTAAGGGGTAGGACGACAGTAACAAAGACCGAATTCCAAAAGCTTTTACACTCCCTTTTAAAACCCCAATTACAAGCAGCAGAAAACCCTCACGGGCATGTAAGACCTTTGGTGTGTGACAGTTTCATTTTTAAGTAGCAGCCAATCTGGTCGGGGAGCTGTACAACAAGTCAGTCAGGATCTGAAGTCAGGAGACGACGTAAAGCCAGGAGACCGTAGAGACAGCACAGGACGGACCCTCAATGCTGCACCAGCATTCGCCATCACTCAGTATGCAGTGCTGAGGAGAAGACGGTCACATGCTACTTTCTACTTCATCTTTTTATAAATAAATACTTCTCTCTAAAACCATCAGCACAAGAGAAGAGTTCAAACTCAAAATACTGAAAGTGTTTAATTAATTTGACAAATCACAATAGAAAACTGCTTTTGATGTCAGTGGTTATTTTGTGTAGTACAAAACATGTAACAGTCAGTTACCAAATGACACAGGGGGGTGACACTAAAATTGAGCTACTTCTAATAATGGTTTAATAATGTTTAATATTATAGAATATTTATAAAAACAAAATATTTCCATTTGACATAGACTACAGTAATAATAAAATCACAGTAGAGAAAATATTTTAAAAGTTAAACAAGACTGGTAGGTTGACGACAATCTAGTGGCTAATGGTTAAATGAAGTGTTTAATTTGTTTACATTTTCTCTGTCAGAAACCAGCATCCTTCCTAAATCAATGTGTTTACATCCTTAAACACTTAGTCACTCTGTTTAATTTGTGACAAGTGACTGAATAACGGAAACTTAATTCAGACTAACTTAACTGCTGTTTAAAAAAAGGTCCTTCACTGAAGGCATTAATGATCAGAACTCCCAATGAGGAAAAAAAACTAAGTAGATTAAAAAAACAGTACTGAAGAAGTAAACAGGGACAAAATATTCAAAAAGGCACCACATATGAGTCAGGTTATGAGAAGTGAATTCTATTGCACCTAATGATACTGGAGGAGACGTTTCCTCTTTAAGGCCACAGATCTGACCACCTGTCGGGCTGCAGGACAGGTGGGGAGACGAGTTGCTGCCTGACACTGATCAGGCTAATTTCCCAGGAGTTCTGTGAGGCCTGTCTTTCAAAAGGATAGTGCAGGCCTCCTCTGGACCAATCGGGACTCACGGATGGGCTCATTAAAAGTTTCCTGAGGAACCCCCCCAGACATCTAGTTTATACGTTGGTTGTGGAGACGGGTGGCTCGAGGAGGCAGAGCCCCTGGGAGGTGCTGCTCCGAGGGCCGTACAGACCCGAGCTGCTCGAAGATGTCCCCCCTCGGAACCTAGCCGCCGATCTCTGTGCCTGCAGCAGCTTCTCGATCAGGAAGCGCTTGTCTCGAGCCTCCTGAAAGGGGAGTGAGCAAAATACACGGTCCGTTCTGGAAGCACCTGACAAACATTTCATGATGGTTTTGAAGGAAGAAACAAATGTAACACATGCTAAACTCCTCAATCTACCTCTGTATGCTGCTGTACCACTAGGTACGTGCAGCTCAGGAAATAATTGAGACCCCTTTAAACAAACCTGCATTTTTAAATCCTACTTTAATCCTGTTTCTGCTGGCAGAAGGCTATGCTGACCAGCAGGTTGCTTCCAGGCACAACATTTCTAAGACAGTAGTACACAAGAATAAGGTGAAGCAGGAGACACTGGGAATGACCAGAAACCAGGCAGGTAAAGGGCAGAAGCAACTATCTAATGCCAGAGATGACCGTCAACTTATCTGACAGTTTCTCATTAATTGGAGGATGACATCAAGTGACCTTCAAAAGGAATGGGAAACATTAAGTGCAGGTGTGAAGTGCAGTTCATATTGGACTCCTAGAAGCAGGACTGAAGACCCAAGAAGCAAGGAAGAAGCCCTTCATCAAGGAAGAACCAGTCTGCAGTTTGCAAAACAATATTATGCACAGACACACACCCATAAATTGAGAAATGAGTGAAACAAAAAATTGTGCTGTGGTCTCTTCATTTTTCCAAAGCTGCAATTAAGAGCTCAGTTATATCAACGTTCTTTTCTTTTAGTGGTGCACTAACATATTGACTAGCATCCCGCCCAGTGTGCCCCCAGCCTTGTGCCCTGTACCTCCTGGGATAGCCTCCTCTCTCCCCTGCAACCCTGACCAGGACAAGCAGCGTGAAGATGGATAGATGCATGGGTGGATGGAGAGCTGACACATTGTTTTTATATTTAGTGTCTTTATTTGTAGTGTAAATTCTAATAAATCTCACTATACTAATGTTGTTAATACATGTCACGTCAACAGACTGGGAACATCTCCCAAAGCTTCAGCTCGTGATAAGTTCCCAGAATGCCGTTCTTGTCCCGTATCACCAGCACTCACCATGGCGAGCTGCTCCCGGAGCTGGTGGATCACACACTTGTGAGCTCTTGCCAGCGCGATGACGTAAAACATGGCCAAGCTGCGGGGAGGCAGTGCGTTCGGATTTCAGCGTGCAAAAAGAAACAGGCGGCACAGCTAAGGAGGAGACGGGAGATTGGGGAGCCTCACCAGGTAATGACGAAGAAGCACACCGCAGAGGCCTCCGAGGCGAGGCCTTTCAAGAAGATTGTTATCCCATAGGGCAGCTGGTCTACGCTACGGGGTACCACCTCCCAGGAGGTCTTGAAGCCAACAAAGGGGCCACATGCCTGCGAGCAGCTGATCCTGAGAGACCCGCACACACAAGAGACAGTGCTCAGTGGCGCCCCCTTGTGTACACAAGAGGCTGGAGCGCAGAACGGTCACTCACTGTGCGAAGCTGGCGATAATGGGGATGTAGGCCATGGTGAGGCCGATCAGCAGCACGCCCAGGAAGAAGAAGTTGGAGCTGGAGGCGCGGAAGGGGCGGGTAGCTGGGCGGCAGTTGTGTATTAAGGTCAGCTGCAAGATTCATCACGCTGTTAATGCTGTTGATGTCGCATGTTTATCATTAATGTGTCTAATCAACAATGATGGTACTTACAGTAATGTCATTATTGGGTTACTTGGTATTTACTTAGCATAAGCAGACTGTGTACAGGGGTGTTAGAAAAAAAGGATTTTGGAATAAGACTTTGACTGCCATCCCAATCATTTCTACATTCATTTAAAGCCCTAAGATAGAAAGCCCTGGTCAGCCAGGAGAGGCACTGCACCTTCTTGATGTAGAAAATGATGAAGTACTTGATGGTGCTGATGGCGGGCAGCAGAGGGCAGTAGAAGGTGCCGATCCAGCAGATAGTCTGGCCATAGACTATCTCCAGCACATTATTGGGGATGGCAAACTCCTGCTGCCCCCACCACTTGGCCAGGCCGTGTTCACAGTGAGTGACAAGGAGCCTGGGAAGGGGAATGAGAAACAGCGCCTCACGGTGGGTACAGTGAGCCATGCAGAGTCACAGGTCTGTCCCATCTTAATACTCCAGCCCAGAAAATGTGGCAGCTGGAGGGGTAGAGGAGACTCACTTCCTGGGGAACTCCACAAAGAGAGTGGTGGCACCGATGATGAGGAAGTCGAATATCATGAGCTTGTACATCTCCTGTCCGACGCGAGACTCCCAGCACTGCAGGGGACAGCAATCATAACTACAGTCACCAGCACTGCAGGGGACAGCAATCATAACTACAGTCACCAGCACTGCAGGGGACAGCAATCATAACTACAGTCATACGCTTACAAAAGATGCTAATCCCATCTTTCACGCTCTAATGTTTGTCCCACATACAGGTGTCAGGATACAGTATGGGCTCCATTTTAACCCACCTTTCCCAAGGCTGACAAAACACTGCTTTCTCTTAGCAATCCCAGGGAGCACAAATATATTTCAGTCCTTCCCTCTACTCTAAGTTGCTCGTAAATGAGAAAATAATGTAGCTCCTATTTTACTGTTTTTTCCAGTGCAGCCGCTCTACCAAGCTTAGAATTAGATGATAAAATTATTTTTTAAATATCAAAGAAAGCCTTACATGGCATACATGAAATTGGATTCTTGCACTAGGCCGCAATTGTGTCTTAACAAGGCAGCTATTGTGTGGCGGTTAGAGAGAAAACAGCCTTCAGTCCGTTTTGGGGACAATGCAGCCAAACATCACTGAGCATGGTTTTAACAGTGGTTGTCTCTACACGTATAAATATATATAGCTGTATAAACCATAGACCGGGTCAGAAATGTGACAGGTAAGAATATTACCCAAACTTACCCCCTTGGCATTTTCCCAGTACTGTCAGGAGGACCCAAAAAATTGTATTTGTTAAATAAGTCAGTTCATCACTGGAACCAACTCTACTCAATTTGTGTGTTTAAACCTTTAGTTTACTGCACTATATTAATTTTATAGAAAACTCAATTCCTGGAAACTTGGATTACCCAGCCATCAGAGGTATACCTCACTCTCCTCAAAGGTACTCACTGGATAGAGCTCATGGTTGTACCCACAGGGACAGCTGGCATCCCTACAGGTTATCTGGGACCAGAGGGAGAAGAGCAGCACTCCAATACTGGCCAGACGCATGAACACGCACCTGGACGAGGAGGATCGGCAAAGATGATTAACTACCACTAGATCCGTGAAGAACCTCAAATGCACGAGATTCATATTTACAGGTTGTGAATGAACGGTTTTCCCTGGGTAGTGTTGGAGATGAAGACCCAATACCTCATTACCTCATGAGCGTGAAGCGGATCTCAAAGGCTGGGGAGTAGTCCTCATACTGGATGATGAGCGAGAAGATGAGCGGAGTGATGAAGTTGCCCAGGGTGATCACGATGGAGGGCAGGTACTCAGAGAGCAATTCCAGTATGAAGATTTGGTGTTTCAACTGTGGACAGGAGAGTACCTTCATGTTCAGACCTTGACAACTCAAAGGTACATAACAGTGAGTCAGAATCTTTCTCCTATGAGTCAAGCTACCGCCTTATTAATCCGGCTGTCAAATTCCACAACAAACACTCACTGGGCAACGAGGAAAACAAGATGCTTGAAATTAAGCCATGGCTGGGAAAGTAGCAAGTCCAGCAACCACAAGAAATGGCTGTTGAGTTATAGACAATCAGATGGTCAGTATTAAGTAACCCCAGCATTATGAAGTTCAGGAGAGGAGGCAAACACTGCAGCCAATCAGATGATCAGTATTGCTTTGAAAAAACACCCAAAGACCATTTATCTTTAAGGTCATTTTCACATATATATTTTAGATAAATCCCAGAATTAGCCTTAAAGCCTTTACTGATGTTGGAGCTGGCCCTGGAATTAATCAGACATAAACAGAAAGCAAACTGATGGACAACTAACAAACAGCTAAATGAATCAAAGCACGTGTGCAATTTATTCCTTATTATTAACATTTGCCCTGTAACCCTGACTAAGCTTAAGCGGCTGTGAGATGGATGGATGGAATGTTATTTTCTTTTTAAATTCACAAATTTTGATATATTTACAAACTGTTCAGTTGTTGCATAGACTGAATAAATACCAGGGCCGGTATGCATAAAACTTCCTAAGGCTGGTCTTAAGAATGGTCGTACACTTGGACTTAAGAGTAAAAAAAAACTTAGCAAAAAGTAGGACCTAGGAGCAATGTATAAAACTGTTAAAGTAACTTTCAGCAAAGTCTAAGCCCAATTCCTAAGTGATGACGGAGCCAGCATTTAAGTGTTGTGAAATGAGGACTACAAATAAAATCCCGCCCCAAATACTGAGTTCAACCAATAGAGAAGCTGCACGGTGAATATATTAGTGAGGTTAAACCGTTAATGTACAGCTTTATACAACATACCTTTCTGTGATCATACCTTTAATTGGTTGTACAAAAATCTACCTAGCACACCAACAATCAATTTCCACTAATAGATGCACATGTTGTATAAATTATGGGTCAAACGCAAAACTCATAGCAAGACATTGAATTCTAAAAGAAAACCAAACTGGACGACAAACAAAACGGTTCTTTTGGCACAGTTGGTGCTTAAATGGAAGGAGGTAGTGCGAGGAAAGTTTGGCCCAGCTGTTACAAGCACGGACAAAAAAAGCTTAGGAGGCTATTGCAAGCTCCGTAAGTGCTGTGACACCTCGGACAAGGCGTTCAGCAGAGGAATGTGAAAAAAGGTGGTATAATGTTTTATCGACCTCCCGAAAGGAAATCACAGTTTATAAAGCAAGCATGCAAGCTACAGGTTTGTGTAATTACTTATATTGCTCTCATGACCCTCGCTATAATAGATGATGATGATAATTATTATATTTTTCCAGTTGCCAAAAACGTAGCATCATTTTCACCTTCAGTTCAATTGTAAGTGCATTTTTAGGTGACGTAGGAGATTGTATCCAGTTCCTAATTAGGTTGGTAACAAAAAGAACGCCTTCATGATTGAGCCTGTACCTTTTTATCAACTCATTATTGTCGTACGTCTGCAGTACGCCCTTTCTTTCACGGAAAGTGCGCGGCCTCCGTCTTCGTGCGCGTAGTGCTGCTGCCATCGTGCAACTCCTAACTGGTTTAGGAGTCCTCTCCAGTTCTCTTAAATAATTTAGGAGCTGAGACCTACTCTTAACACTTAAGAATGTTTATGCATGCCACCTATTCTTAAGTCTGGGAGTAGGAGCAAAATCACGTCACTCTTAGAATTGTGACGCATTTAAGAGAGAAATTTTACTCTGAGAAGTTTTATGCATATCGGCCCAGATCTTTTCTGCATATCGGCCCACAATTTTTTCAAATGTCATAAAAACTCAGTGGACAGTCATCTTTTTCTCCAGTATAAACAAGGCTGTAAGTGTGATTTTTTTTTCTCCCCCCGACAGCATTTTCAGTGATTTTCACTGATTTTCAAACCAGCAGAATGAATCAATAAGGCCTGCATTTAAAGTGAATGCTGTCTCAGTTCAGGGTTAAGTCATACAATATAATCTCAACCTCAGTTCTAGAAGACCTGCAAACCCAAATCCTTCAACAGCAACAAAAGGCAAATGACAAAGACTGGTGCAAATATTGCATTTCACCTGGGATTCCTGGGAGTAGATGGTGGCCCTATAGATGCAGTAGAAGCAGGCAGCCAGCACGGACACCACAAAAATGTTGAGGGCCAACCGTATTGTGTAGATCCGGCACTTCTCCTTGCGTGTGCGCCCCGCTATCTTCTGCTTTATCCTCTCCTCCTCCAGGTCCGTCTGGGTAGGGGGGACAGGATTTGAGTAAGAACGAGCAACAGCACCAGCACTGCAGGGGCCTCCATTTCCGAGCTCCGACCCACCTTTAGCTCATATAACAGGCTGCTCCTCTTTAGCCTGGCCGCGTTCGCGTTGGTGATGCAGAAGTCCCAGCCCGCGAAGATCTTGTTGCAGAAGCTCTGGAAGAGTTCTTCATCCTGGATGAGGTTTTGCTTAAAGCCAGCTGCAGATCTGGAGGTTACAGGGGATCTCAGACCAAAGCAAGTCACCTGGGAAGCCTCCTGTCATTTAATCTTACTCTGCAAACATTAGCTATATCAGTGTTTCTCAATCCGGTCCTCGGGGACCCACAGTCGGTCCACATTTTTGCTCTCTCCCAGCTCCAGTAGGACTGACTGTGGGTCCCCAAGGGCCAGGTTGGAAAACACTGAGCTATATAATCAGCAGGATAGTGATCAAGCTTCACTCTCTGTGACTGGTGATGTCATTGTCAGTCGCTCCCTTTACTGCTTACACGACACTGTAAAACGCAACATACCTTTTCACAATCCATATGAGGCTCAGAAACAGGTAAGCCACGGTGATAAGGATGTAGGCCAGAGGAAGGTTGTAAGAGAATTTAGGGAAATTAATGCTGTCCACCTTGTAGTACCCATAAAACAAGTATGTTTCTTCCAAGAACCCCTGTATGACATGAAACAAACAAGAAGCTTCAAGAGCGCTGTTCTGACATCATCTGTATGGACTTACAGTATTCTCGGAAATTCATTTACACTGTTAAATGTCAATAACACACCTACATTTCCTGACCCTAAAGATGTGTGAGAACCCTGTGTCAGACTAACCTTACAAAGATCATTTAGGACTTGGCATGGAAAACTAAGTCTGCAATGCAGTGAGGAGTACATGCTGTAAAAGAGATTTCAGGCCTGTTAATATCCCCAGTGATGTGGTGCCGCTGTACTTACTGTGCCAGATAGGAGGTCTGAGATGTACTGGTGAAATACGACCAGGCCCTGCCTGGAGGTGCTGGGATAATCACTACATGTCTTTTCTGAAAAACAGAGCACAGCCTGCAGTCTTACTAAGAGTTCAATTACTTTCTCCATTTGGATATCAATGAAATACATATAATCAATGCATATTGTCAAGGCTGTGAATGGCTGTGAGGGAGGTCTGTCTATATGAGGCAGGCAGGTATGTATGAGAGCTGAGCTAGAGATCAGTCTGTATGAATGAGGCGACGTCACTGCAAGAGAGATCAGTCTGTATGAGGAAGGTGATGTCACTGGAAGAGAGGTCAGTCTGTATGAGGAAGGTGACGTCACTGCGGGTTAGGTCAGTCTGTATGATGGACATAGCATCATTGTAAGAGAGGTTAGTTTGTAGGAGGGAGGTGATGTCACTGCGGGAGAGGTCAGTCTGTGTTATGGAGGCACATCTGGGGGACATGGTGTGTCTCCAGGGGAAGTCTGTCTGTATACCAGATGCAAGGCATGCGGAGAGAAGGCCCAGGCTGGTACCCACCATTGTCCAGGTTGGAGGTGATGTTTCCCGAGGCGTGGGGCACGGCGATTATGGGCAGCATGACGAAGCCAAACATCAACAGGAAAATGACAAAGTTGAGCAGGACCAGAAACCGAAGGAAGGAGAAGTAGGAGCGGATCCCTGTGCCAAACATCCCTACAGCGCAGAGAGAGGTGGCGTGAGGGAGAGAGCACCACCTGCTGGGCGGGTCGCGCACATGGGAAGGCTGCAGCTCTCACCCTCTATGACGTGGATGTCGGTCCTCCAGAGCTGAAGGGCCATCAGCAGATGTCCACCTTCCTCCCTCAGCCTCTTGAGGGAGTGCCGAGTCCCCTGCCACCACTGCTCCCAGCCAACCAGCTCCTTTTCCGTCTCCATGTGCCGCTCCCTGGCAGGCAGACAGGCCGCCATCACTCACGGGCTATTCTGAGGATACCCCACGGCTGGGGTCATGGGGGTTAAGTGCCACTAAATCCCTGGGCTGTACATTAATAAAAATCTGCCAATGAGCCCCGGGGCGAAATACGAGTCGGTAACACAGGCCACACACATTTAAGAGGGATAATGAGCCGTGTGTAACAGGACCTTACAGAAGAATACAGCATCAAGAGGCTGATATCTGTTTCACTTAGAGAAATGATAGTCTTCTGTTAAAATATATATGACTCTTTGGAGCACAGTTTCCACCCTTATTACACTTCCCTTTTACTTCCTGTTTTCTCTCCAGACCAGAATTTCGAATGTGTCTACAAATAAGCCGATACCTCAGCGACACCCATCACAAAACCGCTGCTTGCAGACTAAGCTCAAACGACGCAAATTACAGCTCTTCCGATGCTGATAAGTGAATCTGCTTCGAATTTGATATACAGACGCTCCTCTGCTTACGAACTTTAAACTTACGAACCTTCAGACATACGAACGAAGAGGACTGTAAGTCCAAATTGTGTTCCTTGGGTTCCTTGGGTGCGTACTCCCAGCATCCTAGTTCCTCGTACTTGCATACAGTATGTCCTTAAAATGATGTTGAATAACGACTTACGAACATTTCAAGTTACGAACGGCTGTTCGGAACGTATCTCGTTCGTAAGTAGAGGAGCGTCTGTATCTGTTTTACATAATGCTGCACATTTGTGTTACTGATCTTTTAAGCTGTTTTCACTAACATGTTTAAAACTCATTTTGATATCAATTCCTCTCCAATTTTCCTAAAGCCTTATCAATGTTACGATGTGATACAGTAACAACAACAATAATAATAATTAGTACTAATTACATATAATAATATTATAGTTTATATTTAGGTGACCATAGCTAGGACAAGTGGTTGGAAGATGGATGGATATTTAGTTAATAAGTAAAGACTAAAACTTGCACACTCCATTAACTGTCCAGATTTCACTGAAGGACTTGTTAGCACTTCATATAAAAGAAGCATGTATAAGCTTAATCTCCCATACACAGGAGTGTACAGTACAGCCAACAGAGCTGATGGAATTGATCTCGTTTTCACGAAGTGAGCGTCTGGCGGACAGGAGGTCAGCTGACTGACTTGTGCCTGCGTTTCTCCACCATGGAGAGCGGCAGCTCACGGGCATGTCTCTGCAGTGGTGCCACCTTGGGCCTCTCTTCCAGCCTCTCCCCTTTAAGTTTCCAGCTGGAAGACGAGCCTAATCGCGTGCGCTGGCCGCTCCGCCTTCTGGAGCTGCCGGCGACGGACGGCTTCCGGCGGTACAGCAGGGACTGGTAGCTGGGCAGCTGGTCCAGCAGCAGGTTACTGGAGGGACCGCTCGGGCCCATGAAGAAAACTGAAGGGAGAGGCAACAAGGCTGCTAAGATCCAGATGGGCAGTCAGGGGGCAGCATTATTTTATTACAGTTACATTAACACATCATTAATCTCACCATGCATATAGAGTTTAATACCAAAACAAAGCTAGCAGTAGTTAATGCCACACATTTAATATTTCTAGATATATGTCCAAGAATTATTATTATTGTTGTTATTATTATAACAACGACAGCATTGCTTCCATAGTTTTTGTTACAAGCTTGATACACAGGAATTGTGTAATTCTGAGCTACAACAGTGCTATTACAAGGAATATAAGGAATTCCAGAGATGTTCAGACACGTTACTGCTGCCAAACGGCGTTAACATGGGCGCCCAACGCCAACCTCTGTCCTTATGATGTGATTTTAGCAAAAGTTAGCATTCACAAATAACAGCCATTACATTACAGCGCAAAACAATGAAGGCTTCCTAAAAGAAAACATAGCTATGGAGGGGACGGTCGACAAGCTGACCTGCCGGATCCAGAGTTTCAATTACTTGGATCTACTTGTAAATAAAAGACAAAAGAAGAAATAATACATACCCGAGTCGTTATGATCCATTTTGATAAACAGTCGCCGATCGTCAATTTAAAGCGGACAGACTCCGTCCTGTACTTCCCTTCCTCTGTCCCAAAAGCAGTGAGCTTCGCCTCCCACAAACTTACGCTCCGCCCCAGCCGAACAGCGCGCGCTCCCTCACTGCGTGGAATGTCGGCAGCGCTTGCTGATAAAATGCGCGTTACAAAGCATGACTAACAAACTGTGTCGTATATAGGTCATAATAATGGATGATGATGATGATGATGATGATGACGACGACGACAACAACGACGGCAACAACAACAATAATTATTATAATAATAATAATAATAATAATAATAATAATAATCCATCCACTCATATTAATCCATCTAACCACTAATAAGATTGGGAGACACACATAAAACACAGGCAAGACTCAAATCCTCCACTATCTTCGCAGTAGCGCAGCTAGAGATTTTGGGCCCTATGAAAATATACATATTGGGCCCCCGACCCACACCAATCCATATACGTTACAAATTTTTTTGAGCCCGTCACTCGGGGACCTTGAAATCGTCCTAATCCCCCTTTACGGCGCCCCCGTATGGTGGTATGATGCAGCCCCAACAAGCCAACATACCAAGCTTTTTACGTAAGAGTGCATTCGTTTTACGCAGTTAAAAACAGAGACCACAAGGGGGCACAATAAACATTTATGACAAACAGTGTTCTTAAGATCTCATTAAATTTCACATCAGATTGGCCCACTTCTTCACAAGGAAAATCACGGAACTTCTGTAATTGGCTATACAGTGGGAAACTAAAGACCTTTGAATCATAATGCATTTTACTGAAACTGGAATTATAGCAAGAGAAAAATTCTCATTAGTATAATGCACATTTATATGGTCTGCATAGCAATTAAAGTTTGCACTTATAATTGAAATCACATTTGTCGAAAAATACTCAAACACTCAAAAATAATACAAACAATGCTCTTTGTAATAACACAATAATACAATGATTATGCAATTTACATTGATTATCCCTATGTATAGTGCAGTATTATTTCCTAGAGGTTTTACACCACATAACAGATTCAGCAACAAAACAGCTTTTAAAACATTAACATTTTTGTTATAATTAAATACTTCAGTCAAGCATATCACATCACTGATCTGCCATAATATTAAACCACCTGCCTAATATTGTGTAGGTCCTCCTTATGCCACCAAAACAACTCTGACCCATCAAGGCATGGACTCCACAAGACCTCTGAAGGTGACCTGTGGTATCTGGCACCAAGACATTTGTGGCAGATCTTTTAAGTCCTGTAAGTTGTGAGATGGAGCTTCCATGGATCGGACTTGTTTGTCCGGCACATCCCACAGATGCTCGATCAGACTGAGACCTGGGAAATTTGGAGGCCAAGTAAACAGCTTGAACTCTTCAAGTTCCATCACAACATTCCTCAACAACTTTGGATGTGGCAGCATGCATTATCCTCCTGAAAGAGGCCACTGCCATAGGGAAATACGACTGCCATGAAAGAGTGTACTTAGTCTGCAATGATGTTTAGGTAGGCGGTACGTGTCAAAATAACATCCACATGAATTCCAAGACACAAGATTTCCCAGTAGAACATGGCTCAGAGCATCACGCTGCCTCTGCCAGCTTGCCTTCTTCCTATAGTGCATCCTGGTGCCAGCCCTCCCCCAGGTGAACTACGTAGACATACTCAACCATCCACGTGGTGTAACAGAAAATGTGACTCATTAGACCAGGCCATCTTCTTCTATTGCTCCATGGTGCAGTTCTGTTGCTCACCTGCCCATTTTGGGCCCCTGTCGGTGGTGGACAGGGGTCAGCAAGGGCACCCTGACCGGTCTGTGGCTACACAGCCCCATACTAAGCAAGCTGTAATGCCCTGTGTGTTCTGACATCTTTCTATCATAGTCAGCATTATGTTTTTCAGCAATTTATGCTACATTAGTTCTCCTGTGGGCCTGGAAGCGATGGGCTATAGCTACTGCTCCCCAATCACATCAAGGAGCCTTGGGTGCCCATGACCCAGTCACAGGTTCTCCGGTTAGCCATTTTTGAACCAATTTTGCTAGATACTGACCACTGCATACTGGGAACACCTTAGTCTGGGCTAAATGTAAGTGAACAAAGATAAAGGCCATTTAAACTGGGGTAAATTAAATCTCACAAGTTATCCAGGTAAGCAAGAAATCTTGCTTTTTGAAATGGGTCCCTGGTATTGCTAAATGGCTTTCCAACTTGCTGTACTGGAACATCGTTAAGTCTTTTGTGACGTCATTCCCGGTTCCAAGTTCCAAAAGACAGCATATGTAACATTATCCCGCTAATAGGTGCTTGTAAGTTCCACCGCCATCCCAGTAATATTAGACAAAAGTGTATTGGAGACACAAGCAAAAAAATGAATTAATTGATGCATTAAATGTAACTGGAATACAAAAATAATTCCATCTGCTCAATTTTTGCTCCGCTTCATATTTTCTGCACTTCCGTGTAACTTCCAAGATAGCACCGGTGCTTGTGGTCAACAAGTCAGCAACCAGTAGTTTGGGTTCGAACAAAAAGTACCTTAGTCTGGCGTGGGATCTGCCTCTCAGGAACTACAATTGGGGCAGGTTTTTCACGTGTGAAAAAGACAAAAGTCCCTGATACCAGAAAAAGGTTCTGGTTCCAGAAAAAAGTTCCAGCCGCATGAAAGCACCTAATGTTACCTTTGACAGGTGCCATTACAACAAAATGATCAATGTTATCTCACCTTTCAGTGGTGTTAACTGTATGGCCGATCGGTATATATCACATAAGCATATTTGTATACTTTGCTGTCTAGTATTACTCGTTTTGTCCTGTATACTCCTGCAATTTGCATTATCTAAATTGTAATGGAAAATCCTTTTAATTTCTCCCAGCAAACAGCAATACGTCCAGAGGACGTCCTCTGGCTGTCCCTAATTGTTTGTTGGGCTGATACCTGCTTGCTTGAATCTTGAATGCAGGCCTAACTATTGCATTCTGTGTAAGTATTTTTGTGCAACTATTGTATTCGTATTCTTCAACTTTGTTACATTTCTTTAGACATATCCAGAGGTGTGTGTGTGCGTGTGTGTGTGTGGGGGTATATGCCTCCCCTCCAATACTCCAACTCATCCAACATCAGACAGGGTTCATGTACAGTACTGTATGACAAAGAAAAGGGCACCCATGACAATCGGTGGTATTAACAATAACACAAACAGGGGCTATTTACAGTTTTCCCAGCATGCTCCTGGGCTGTTACTGGCATCTGTCATATGCGGAGACGTTAAATACTGTGCAGCATTCACCAAAGTTACTATAGCAGTGTCACAGACGCAGGTGCGCAGGCTCAGCATGCAACGTGGGTTTGTATTGTGTGGAAAACATGGCAAAAGGCAGTGACGAGAATTTTTCTCATCCGTGTAAGAGGACTAGGCACAGCCGGATCTTGAAGTGGCCAGGGGCAATGCCCACCCAAATTTCTGCTCTGCCCACTCATTTGGTCAACTTCAGCCTGCGCCAACTGAATCTGCCAATCACGTTTATTTCATTGGTCCCATCAGATACTCTTTGGTGGAGCATTTGTAGCCCCCTGTCAAAATGCATGGAGGAGTAATATGTTACTTTATTCATATTAAATCTCCTTCTTGTTAAAGTATATGTTTTGTTGCTGCAGTCTGTAATGTTGTGTTGAATAAGGATCTTTGCTAGTACTTTTATCCAAAGCACCTGATGAACAGTGCAGAAGCCACCAACTGTCTGCAGAGTCAATAGCTACAGACCTCCAAACCCCATGTGGCCTTCAGATTAGCTCCAGAACATTGAGTACAGAACTTCATCGAATGGGTTTCCATGGCCGAGCAGCTGCATCCAAGCCTTACATCACCAAGTGCAATGCAAAGTGTCGGATGCAGTGATGTAAAGCACACTGCCACTGAACTCTAGAGCAGTGGAGACGTGTTCTCTGGAGTGACGAATCACGCTTCTCTGTCTGACAATCTGATGGACGAGTCTGGGTTTGCCGGTTGCCAGGAGAACGGTACTTGCCTGACTGCATTGTGCCAAGTGTATAGTTTGCTGGAGGGGGGATTATGGTGTGGGGTTGTTTTTCAGGGGTTGGGCTTGGCCCCTTAGTTCCAGTGAAAGGAACTCTTAATGCTGCAGCATACAAAGCCATTTTGGACAATTTCATGCTCCCAACTTTGTGGGAGCAGTTTGGGGATGGCCCCTTCCTGTTCCAACATGACTGCGCACCAGTGCACAAAGCAAGGTCCAAAATGACATGGATGAGCGAGTCTGGTGTGGAGGAACTTGACTGGCCTGCACAGAGCCCTGACCTCAACCTGACAGAACACCTTTGGGATGAATTTGAGCAGAGACTGTGAGCCAGGCCTTCTCATCCAACATCAGTGCCTGACCTCACAAATGTTCTCCTGAAAGAATGGTCAAAAATTCCCATAAAAACACTCCTTAACCTTGTGGACAGCCTTCCCAGAAGAGCTGAAGCTGGTATAGCTGCTAAGGGTGGGCCAACTCCATATTAAAGCCTATGTATTAAGAATGGGATGTCATTAAAGTTCATGTGTGTGTAAAGCAGGTGTCCCAATACTTTTGGCAATATAGTGTATGTTCTATATGTGTATTTATTGCAAGTTGCCTTTGCATCTGTAATAGTACATTTCATAAGAAGTGAAGTTTATTCTCACTTTAAACCAGAATGTCTGCCATTCGTTATATTTTGTTATTTATTAATTTGTTAATCTTCCTCGTAAATCTCACAAAGGACCGGATTTGGGATTACAAGGTAGGTCCAGCCTACGTGAATTTAGATGTCAGGTGCAGGAACATTTAATACACCTTGTTTATGGTCAGATTTTGTCGCTTTCATTTAAATGCGTCTGCTAGTTTAAATGGTGTTAAATTTTGACAAAACGGTTTCCTGTTTCAGTCGTTCTAATAATAATACGTGGCAGATTTCAATAAATCCGTAAAAGTCACCAGTGGGACCTCGGCGGTCCTGTGCCTAATTTTATCCGTTAAAAAAACGAATCGTTTCGGGAAATGGTATTATCGGAAGCCCATCAATGAGACGCTCCGCCTCTACGGCGCTGGCAACCGTATCTAACAGATAGAGAGTCCATGAGTAACCAGCTAGGTGGGGGTGCATTAAGGAAATTATAAGAGGAAATTATAAGGCATCGCTGATGACGTACATATCGGGAGAATAATGATATATTACAGGCGGACTTTTACCTTTAGAAGAGGACACTGTGTTACTGCTTTGTAAAACTGGCTTTTAAATGCCATCGTCATGTAAGGATTACAGGACTGAAGATAAATGAGAACTCCAACGAATTCCGTTAAAATTCCTTTTAAAAGGTGGATTAAAGAAGTATTTTACATCCACTAAGAGCAGTAAAGGAACCGTCAGAGAAAATTGATCCCCACTATAACGGTAAGATGTATTTAATACGGTATAAAAACTTTTTTGTTTTTGTTATCTATCAGCCATGGTAACTGCTGAATGTGTTAAGTCAGATTTAGCCTAGTTAGGGAACATGGATTCTTCGTTCATTCCTTACATAGCCTATTGTAGGCATAACATTGTATTTGCCTTTAATGCTGGCAACTGGCTGGGCAATGTAATTATTTAAAAATAAAAAAATCCCTTATAAAGCGTGAACTACTTAACATGTTTGCTGCTATAGTTGACGGAACACACTGGTGACATCAGAATTTAACCTGTAAAACCTGATAACGTACAGTACTGTGCAAACGATTTACGCAGACAAAGAAAATGTTTAAGGATTTTTATCTGGGTAGTAAGTGAATATTTGCTCAGAAAAATTACATTTAACATTAGAACATATGCAAATTAACAGTAACAAAACAAACAAGAACTACTTCTGCATTCCAAAAAGTTGCTGATATCTTGTCGGATGCCTAGACGAACATCCCTCTTCAGCCAATGCATTGAGTGTTCATTAAATTTCACCACCAGCTCAATTAATTAATGGACTTCATTAGCTGAATAACTCGATAAGAGAAGTTTTAAAATGGTTAAACTGACGCACTCTGACAGACATAGCTTAACTATCACAATGTGCTTAACACCAATATGAAAAACGTACCATACAAGACACAAATTATGTATTTTTCTTCACCCATCAGTGTATTTTTGTTTGGAGGATTTGATTTTTTTAAATTATCCATCAGTCTTTAT